CAAGAGTGGTGGCCCAGTCATCAAGAAGAAGCCCGGTGCCGGGCCCACGACATTGAAGGATGCCGTCAATGGCATCAAGAAGTCGTCCATGGACAAGGACAACATGTGGGACGACCAGTCGGCCTCAGAGGACAACGGTGCGGGCTCATCCACGGACTCCAAGAGAGACAAAGGGAAAGCCGAGAAATTCACGAAGATGAAGTTGGCAGGGAGTTTGCCACCGTATGTGGTTGACTTGTACGACAATGCTGCCAACCAGAAAGAGTCCCCTCGCCAATTCTGCACGGAGATTATCAACTCCTTGTTCAAGAGGAACCCCAAGACCGGGCGGTACAGCTTGATTGACAACCAGCCGTTATTCACGGAAGCGAAGCGGGTTTGGGAGAAAAAGTTCGGCACCGATGGCAAGGAGAGCTACACCAAGCTCGTCATGCGAGGACTTTTCTTCGGAAACTCGGAGTCAGCGCCATGTCTCAACAAAGCAATGTTTTTTCTTTTGTTAAAATACACTCGGGGACTACACCCACTAAGGTTTTAGAACTGTATTATTCGCGAAAAGAAACCTGAGCCCTAAACCTTACATCCTTAAACAACCTCGAGCCGAAACCGCTCTGCTTCTGCTACATTCCTAATACATCCACTAAGGTTTCAGAACTGTATTATTCGCGAAAAGAAACCTGAGCCCTAAATCTTATATCCTTAAACAACCTCGAGCCGAAAGCACTCTGCTTCTGCTACATTACTAATACACCCACAAAGGTACTAAAGCTGTATTATTCGCGAAAAGAAACCTAAGCCCTAAACCTTACATCCTTTAACAACCTCGAGCCGAAACCGCTCTGCTTCTGCTACATTCCTAATACACCCACTAAGTTTTTAGAACTGTATTATTCGCGAAAAGAAACCTGAGCCCTAAACCTTACATCCTTAAACAACCTCGAGCCGAAAGCATTCTGCTTCTGCTACATTACTAATACACCCACAAAGGTACTAAAGCTGTATTATTCCCCAAAAGAAACCTGAGCCCTAAACCTTACATCCTTTAACAACCTCGAGCCGAAACCGCTCTGCTTCTGCTACATTCCTAATACACCCACTAAGGTTTTAGAACTGTGTTATTCGCGAAAAGAAACCTGATGAGCCCTAAACCTTACATCCTTAAACAACCTCGAGCCGAAAGCATTCTGCTTCTGCTCCATTTGTCGTCATAACAATAATAACAACACCGCAACGATGATGCTAGCCTTAATAATAAACGAAAACAACCCTTAAACCTTGTTATTCCACCCTTTCTTTATCCCCAAACCAACAACAGCCCTGAAAACTGCAACACCTGAAAACAACTATCCCTGTGCTGCTGGTGCTGGTCGTTGCTACTGTGGTTGTTGTTGTGATCGCTGTTGCTGCTGTTGTTTGTTGCTGCAGCTGAGGCTATGAATGCAGCAATTGAGGCTGGAGAGGTCACCGAGTTCAAGTCCAAGGACGGAACGTGTTTCTACTCATTCCGCAAAATGACAGCTGGTGTTGAAACCGGACAAGAGAGCAGCCTGGGCTACACGAAGCAGGCCAAGGGCACTCAGCAGCAAGCGGACATGCTGGAGGCAATGTTCGACAAGCTCGATTGGAGCATGCCCTACAAGGGTACCGATGCCCTGGTGGTTGAGCCTGGCAAGAAGCTGCCGAAGCCCATGGCGGCCTTCTTGGAGAAGGCGGTGGCCACACAGATCCGCTTGGCTGGCGAGACCATGAGGCTCTTGAAGAAGCTACCCGACATCTTTTGTATAACATGATGTTTGATGTTTACAACACCGCAGCGAAGAATCCTGAACTGTCCCGTGTCGTAGGATAGACAAAAGGGGGTCTTGTTTGCTGATTGCCATGCACAATCCAGGCATGTTATTATCTTCTTGGTCAGAACTACATCACAACCCCTCACTCAAAAGTATCTCTCAAAGTAGCCCTCCAAGTGTCGCTGAGTTCTCGAAACACTTCATCGAAGTTACCCAGGTCTCGTTCAAAGTAGCCCTCCAGGAAACTACTCCACATATCATCCCGCCGTTTCGCTGCCGTCACAACCCATCATCCATCATCACTCCAAGTATCCCTCCAGGCATCCCTCCAAGAAAAGGGTTTTAGGGTTTTGTTTGGGGTGTATTGGAGGTTTTAGGTTTCTGTGTTTTGAGGTTTGTGGGTTTAGCCCTATTACTAATAAAGCTCGCGACAATCTTCCAAATTATGCTTGACTGAGGCTTCCCCAGGAGTCGTCGGACGACTATGACAAGCTCAAGAAGGCCTACGTTGAGAGCCAGAAGATGCTCGGCGAATGCCGCCATATCCTGGCCTGGAAGGAGATGCCTGATTCGCAACCTATTTCAAAAGACAATTTCGACAAGTTCATGACATTTGTCGCCAAGCAGACGTTGGCCCACCACGAGTTTCTCGCAAACGGCAAAGCCGTTGTCAAGGCCACAAAGTGAGATCGCGATCTTCGTATGTCGAGCCGTGTCGTGGATGATTCTCTGGAGTGCTGGCTACTTCCGGCTTGTTTTCAAAGCCTTACACAGGACTTATTATGGGTTTAGATTTATTGGGTCGGGGCTCCTGGGGCAACCAATTATTATTTGACAGCTAGCTGCACAAGGGGGGGGGTCGTCCATGACGATTTTGGGCTTTCTCTGATCTCGCACTCGTGCTTTCGTGAGTTGGACAAAAAAAAGCGCGAACAGAGACAGTGCCGAAGCTGATTATGGCGAAAACTTCAGCAACAACTACTATACAAGAAGCTTTCTATATATTCATATTCAGAGAGGGGTTCTTGAGTGCAGGATTAGTATTATGATTGGAATAGCTATCATAATAATCGTGTCAAGCATAAAATTACACTATCCAGAAGAAGAATGCAAACAAAGAGGGATTCCTGGAGTGTATAAACACAATAATCAGAACGAGAATCAGAGGTAGTATCATAAATATGCGAGGATGATCCTTCTCAGTGCAATTCCGAAGATGCCCTTTGCCGATGCTCAGGCTTTGTTGACGACACTGAATAAAGTAGCCATAAAAAAAAGCTCACCGACAAAACCCTATCCCGAAATGAACAGGCATCAACAAAGATCCCCGACGAGACCCCATCCCCAGCGACCTTGATGTCGAGTGATACTGTTATTTATTGCAGCAGTTATTGGTCCTATTGTTCGATAAAACATGCGACTACTATCTGCTACGACTATATACAGCACAAATGAGATTACTACGTGCCACGAAAATGTCCTAGGACCGGCAGGTGGTGTGTAGGAGTGATGGCTGGCAGGGGTTTTTCTGGTCACCAGAAGAAGAGGCATTCATCCCCGGCAGCAGCATCGTCAGGAGGAGCGAAAAGACTCCGAGGTGGTACTCGGCAAAGACTACGAGCAGCTGGAGCTTATGTGCCTGCTTCATATGAGGAGGGCATCGCAACCACCGATGATGATGATGATGATGATTTTGTTCCTCGCGGTGGGGAGCTGCCGCCCTCGGATGCAGATACGAGGACCAAAGCTGTGAGCCCCAACTCTCGTTTGGGCCGGAAGCTTTTGGAGTTGTTCTGCTGGGGCGATATGAGCCCACAGCTTTTACAGAGCCTTGCTGAGGCCGCAAGGCAAGATATCCACTCAACTTTGCAGGAGCACGGTGAGGAGCCGACCTCATCCACTTCCCAGTGCCTTCGAGATATTACACAACTGGCTAGCATAGGCTCCTATGGGAAGTTCAGCAACAAGTGCTACAGCGACCTTATGAGGCGGGTGGAGCCGAATATTGCCGTCGCCGAAACATACAAAACCAAGCTCCACTTTGCAAACCCCGCAGGTGAACATACACAAGAGGTATTGTTACCTCATGAGCTGTTCGCTTCAATGTTCGAGCATGAGAATGAGGCTTTCTTTCGCACTGTAGCCAGCGACGAGGGTACACGTACAAAGTTCTGGGATCGCATGCGATCTCACTCCCACCCGGCTTGGGAAAATCACCCGCTGCTGCATCGCAACATCAAAAAGGCGATTCCTATTTCGGTTCACGGCGACGAGGTTCCCATCGCTGGGATTGGAAAGCAGTGGTCCAAGAAGCTCGTCAACGTGTCATGGGCAAGCTTGCTGGGCAAGACTGAAACGAAGTCGACACAGTTCTGGTCGATGGGACTGGTAGAGAAAACCGATGTTAAGAATGGCCCGTATGCCACTATGCGAAACCTCTGGAAGATTTTGGCATGGTCATTTACTGCTCTCTGGTCTGGGCTATGGCCGTTGACCGACCACGAGGGCAACAGGCAGAAGACAAAATTCGTATGTTTGATTTGTTCCTTCAGTCTTATTGATAATCGCCCTGCCACCTTGCCTGATCCCAACTAGAGGTTTTCGTCATGTGAATATTTATAATATTCTCAACCACTCTCTCTCTCTCTCTCTCTCGCTCTCTCGCTCTGCCTTCATTTTGAAGTTCAATCCAGTCGCGACATGAGGTTTCCCGAAGGCTCGATCCAACTCGAGCGAGCTGGAACACCACTAGCTGGTGGGTTTTTTGGAGTGGTTTGGTCGCTGATTGGCGATTTAGATTATTTTACACAGTTTCTGCAGCTACCAAACTACAACAACAAGAGCATGCCGTGCAGCATGTGCCGGACGACATTGAGTGGACTTACGACTTGGAGCAACTTTCAGGTTGGGGCTGCATGGCGAGGAACGATGTGGCGACCAGATGCCTGGCATGCTTGGGCTGGACGAAGCCGCAATCCTATATTTTCGATTCCTGGTGTGTCTGCATGCAACATTTGTGCAGACTACATGCACTGTAAGTTCCTGGGGACGGATGCCGTCCAATTCGGGTCTGTGATGTCTTTGCTTGTCTTCGAGGTCATGAATGAAGGAAGTCCAGAAGACAACTTAGCAGCCTGTTGGCGATTCATTCGCGAGTATTATCGGATGCATCAAACAGCTGTGAGGTTCAGATCGATGAGCCGTTTAACCATGTTCGTACGAAAAACCGGTGGGCCAAAGCTCCGAGGAAAAGCAGGCGAATTGCGATATTTTGGGGAGGTGCTGTTGGCACTATGGACAACATATTGCAGTAATGAGCTTGAGCTTCACAAGAAGATCACACTTCTCTTGAAAAGCAACGTTTTCATGGAAAGGAAGCTGACGGAGACGAAGGGCCAGACTTCGATGGAGGACGAGGATGCTGATGAGTTTAATCAAGCATGCTCCGATATGCTGGTACTTCAGAGTGATCTTGCAAGGCACTTTGCAGAGCACGGCAAACTGTACTTCACTCTAACTTCGAAAGCACACCAGCTACAGCATGCCTGTCTGCTCGCATCTGTCTTAAATCCCAGAACCGTCCCTTGTCGGCAGACGAGCATCATAATAACAAGCATTGTCACCTTTTTCAAGCATAATTACAATAAGAACGTGTGCTAAAACACGTGGAAGTGAAACCTTGAGGTATGGGCATTTGTCGGCGAGGACCTCCAACAGAAGGTGCAGCGACTCGCTTCCATGTCCCTGAAGGGGAATGTTGGGCCTTATGCTGTCAACAAGATGCTCAGACGTTACCGGTTGGCCCTGAGCATGATCTGGCGAGATCAAAGGACGAATGCCTAAGGCATTCTTCTGGCGAGATCAGAGGACGAATGCCTAAGGCATTTTCGTGAGCACGAGGCTTGATCGGAGCAAAAAGAAGAACACTGGAAGGATCTGTAGAAAGCATTGTAGGGTTGGGGCTTTGGGATTTATCCTAAGGTTGTGGCTTTCGCCAGGGTTTGTGAAGTCGAGTGCTAGCGATTGTTGGGGTTGGAACAGCCAACAACAACTCCAACGACAACAACACCAGCACATCCTCTCCTGGTTGCTTTCTTCAACAGTACTTTTTTTTGCTGCCCTCTCAGCAACCCTCTTGCAACCCTCCTCACTCGAAGTAGCCCTCTTGTAGCCCTCCTCACTCGAAGCAGCCCTCTCAGCAACCCTCTTGCAACCCTCCTCACTCGAAGTAGCCCTCTTGTAGCCCTCCTCACTCGAAGCAGCCCTCTTCTAGCCCTTCGTGAAGAAGAAGCTGTAATATGACGGTACTACTACTTCGCTGAGGGATACTTGGAGTGAAAACTTTGCATGGCCGACCGAAGCACAGCTACTCGGACTCTCGTTTCTTGAGGAAGAATCGTTGTGTTGCTGTGGACTGGCTTTCCTGTTGAAAAAATGGTAACAAAAGTGATCGCAACACACCCCAGAAAAATCTGAAGAATTCCCTTTCTTCCTGGTAGTAAGATCAGACAAAAAGAAACCTTGAGAAGGATCGCAGCACACCAGAAAGATCTGAAGAGTTATCTTCCCTGCTAAAATCAGCAGACAAAAAAAGAAACCTTGAGAATGATCGCAGCACACCAGAAAGATCTGAAGAATTACCTTTCTTCCAGCTGCTAAGATCAGACAAAAAGAGACCTTGAGAAGGATCGCAGCACACCAGAAAGATCTGAAGAATTACTTTTCCTGCTAAGATCAAACAAAAAACCTTGAGAATGATCGCAGCACAACACCAGAAAGATCTGAAGAATTACCTTTCCTGCTAAGATGAGACAAAAAACCTTGAGAATGATCGCAGCACACCAGAAAGATCTGAAGAATTACCTTTCCTGCTAAGATCAGACAAAAAGAAACCGAATGATCGCAGCACACCAGAAACATCTGAAGAATTACCTTTCGTTTAGGGTTTAGGGCTGAGGGGTTTAGGGTCTAAGATCAGACAAAAAGAAAACCTTGAGAATGATCGCAGCTCACCAGAAACATCTGAAGAATTGCCTGTCAAGTTAATAATAAGATCAGACAAATCCTGGAAAATGCAACCCGAAGTTTGCCCGAAGTTTGGTCGAAGTTTGCTCTTGGGCAACCCGAAGTTTGGTCGAAGTTTGCTGTGGGGTGTTTGTGCCGGGAACCCGAAGTTTGGTCGAACTTTCCGCCGGCCAGAAACTAACTATAGTTAGTTGCCGGGGGGAAAAAATTAACTATAATAATTAGTTTATGGTGGCGCCGACAAAAAGTAACTATAGACAGATTTTTGTCTATAATAGTTAGTTTATGTCTCTCGTTCACAACCTACGAAAACTAACTATCGACAAAAAGAATAAGATATAGTGTAGACAAAAAAATTTAACTATATAGTTAGTTTTCGGCTCGCGGCAAAAAACAGTCTAGGATAGTCTTAGGGGGTTGCTCTCGGCGCCGAGCCGGTATCCTGGCTCGACTGGCGGGAGTCCGCGAAGCGTTTCAAATGGCAGTGGCGTCGAGCTCACGGTGTGTTCGATGAGGCGGAGCCGCCGGCGGATTTCTCCGAGGCCCGGTCGGCGGATGACGACTCGCTGTGGGTTGCTTCCGCCGGCCGGGCGGTCGCTGACCGCTCGCTGTGGGCGGGGGCGATCGAGGACGGGGAGAAACCTGCCGGTGGTCTTGACAACGCACCATGGCAAGCGTCGGACGACACGGTCTTTAGCAACAGCACGAAAACGGAAGACTTGGTGAAGGCTATACGCTGTGGCGTGAGCGAAGCTTTTTCCGATGGCGTCAACAGCGGGTTTTACATCAACACCTACACGACGAAAGCGAATCCCAGCCTGGCTGGCATGTTGGAAGAGCTTCGTCGAGGCTGGCGGCGGTTCGTAGACACAGAGGGAGAGCGAGAGAGAGAGAGAGAGAGAGAGAGAGAGAGAGAGAGAGAGAGAGAGAGAGAGAGAGAGAGAGAGAGAGAGAGAGGGAGAGAGAGAGAGAGGGGGGGAACGGTCAGGTATCGAACGCTTGGAGTCCGAACGAGCAGTGCGCGAGCAGGAGGCGGCGGAAGCTCGTCGCCTGGCTGCGGAGGATGGCGCCGTCTTGAGAAACGGTCGTGGCAAGCTGTTTCGCGAAACCATGAAAACGTTGTCGCGGCTGAGCTCCTCCTATCGTCGTTGTCACTGGAAGAGTGCGGCGGAGGTGATTTTCCCTCTTCTTTTCGAGCATCTGACGTTCGCCAGTCATCGCACATGGAAGCTGTACACGAAGAAGGCCGTCTATTTCTGCGTCGAGGCCTGGAAGCGACGCTACGGTCCCAGCGTGCTTCGCTGTGAGCCTCGGCCTGACTCGGAGCCGGTTGTTTATCATCGAGAAGGTGTGGACGAGGTTGTGCTGCAAGGCTGGCGGAAGGTCGTTCGGGAGGAAAAGCTCACCGGGGAAGAGATTCACCTGTACATTGGACCGGTTGGACAAGTGTGTCGCAGCGTCGAGGAAGCGTTCGACGAGGATCAGGCCGCTGCGAGCTGCTGCAAGGATGCACAGCACAAACTCACCTTTATGCAGGCGCTGCTTGAGCAGCACGCGGTGAAGGAGCGAGTGTCGGAGGACCCAAAGGCCGAGGATCGTGAATCGAATCTGCAGTCATTGCAGGCAACGGGGGAGGATGCAGCCGTGTCGGCATGTCGCTCGTACGGGAAGAACGGCTTGGTGGTGACGACCAGCAGCCTGGAAGATTACTTGTTCCGTGGGGATCATCCTCTGGTGAGAGACATGAGCTGGTCGCCTTACGGCATGTGGGTCTATCGCGTGGAGCTGCCTCCGACGTTAGCTGGTAAGTCGGTGCGGGCCGCATTGCCGCGGCACGTGGACGTGTTTTTCGCGGAGAAATACAAGCTCAGTGCTTCGCATTGCCAGCGGATTTCTTCGGAACCGCGAGTGCCCATGTTCGAAGGATTCACGATGCCGACTCTCACCATGGACAGCGAGCGGAATGCCATGCACAAGCAGTTGCAGTGCAGACCGTTTCGAGTCTTGCACTATGAGGGAGATGACACGGAGGCGGCCGTGCTCAAAGCGTTCGACCTTTTGTCTGCACCGGTGGGTGTGACTCCTGCGGAGCCTTCCATTGCTGCGAGCACGGCTTTCACCTCGGCGTTTCTGGCTTGGCATCAGAAAGCCAAGGAAGAAGCCGCGATCGCTCGTAGGGGATTTGCTGCCAGGTCCTTTGGCTGGAGTTTAGTTGTGGCCTCGAGCGTAGTTCTTTTGTTAGTGTGGATGTTGGGTTGTGCGTGAGGTTCGAATTCCCGTCTCTTTGGGAGACGCGGGAAATGCGAGACGTCCTCGAGGAAAAGATGGAGGCCATGAAGATGGATGTGTCGCCGTCCCTTGCGAGCGACCCGGACAAGGACAAAGAGCGTGTCAGCGTGGGACAGTATTCGAGCATGCTGGCAATGGAGCGAGTTGCTAACTTGGAAGGCCTGGCAAGAGCGCGTCAGCAGAGGCCGAAGCGTCGTCGGGAGCTGGACATGCACCTGCAGGAAGATTTCGTGCGAGTGAGGATGGAGGGGGAGAACGCTGACGACGAGGGGGAGGTGGATGCGGAGGACGGGTGTCCCGACATGGTTGCGACTCCGATTCCCAGGGAGCAATTCCAGCTGGTGTTGCAACGACCCCACAGCGATGAGGAGGTGAAAAGGCTGCTTTCGCTCGATGGGCAGAGTCGGAAGACACGACACACTAAGGAATTCTTGGGCCTGCCGTGGATGAAGCGGGATCTGTTCGCTGTTCGCGACAAAGCGCCGCCAGCGTTGCACAGTTCGGCTCAGAAGCTGGGTCGCGAGCTGGCCGCGTTGGACGAAGAGGCGCGGGAGACACTGTTGAGTGGCATCAGAGACGGGTCGGAGGCGGCGGCCGGTTCCGATGCTGCTGCAAATGCCTCTGTTGTCACGTACATTCGCGAGCTTGTCGGCGACAAGCTGCCGGCGAATTGCGTGGGCTTCGACGAGAGTGTCCGGAGGGTGTATTCGAAGCCTTCGCTCTTGATGAAGGCCGGGGGATGCTGGTAGCTGGTCGAGTAGTTGCAGTGTGTTTTGCGATGTGTCGGGCATACGAATGCAGGCGATGGTGGACGGCTTGCCCGAGCAGGAACGATTGAACGAGGATCAGGCGCTGTTCATTTCCAGGTTTGCGAATGTGCTGGACACCGTTTTGGCGCAGGAGGACCGCGGCTAGGAGTGGCAGTGGTGCAGCGCTTGTTTGTTTGTTTCTAACGTGTTCTTCTTTCCAGCTGTTGATGTCTCGGCCAGGAGAACTCGGAAATCTTTCCGTGGCAGCGCAAGACCTATCATATGCTGTTATTGGGCCAAGGCGGATCAGGGAAGACCCACGTCGTGCAGAAGCTGATTTTTCCCATCGTGCTGTTTATTTGGCCTCCCAGCAAGAACCGCGAGACCATTCAAGTGGTGGCTGCGAAAAATTCGCAGGCCAAGAACATCTCGACTTCGGAAATCCGGGCCAAGACTTTGCATACGGCGAGTGCCATGCGGGTGCAGAAGTTGGTGAACGGCTTGATGAGCGCCGGGCAGAAACAACAACGTCTGCGGGACCTCTGGGAGGAATGTCGGGTTCTGATTCTGGAGGAGATCAGCATGGTTTCGGCTGCGATGTACAACATGTTGGATTATCGGGCCATGCTTGGTCGCACTCACGTTTTCGCAGTGACTCCGCATAATTACACTCGGGTCGGCTGTGCTTTTGGGCGAGTGCCCATCGCGCTGCACTTGGGAGACTTTTTGCAACTGAAGCCCACCGGTCAGATCTCTTTGATCGATGATCTGGAGCGCCAAGACGAGCACGGGCAGTATGTCCACCGGGACGTGAGCGTGGAGATTCAGAACGCCCAGGCCGTTTTCCAAGCCGTGCCGGACGTCTTCGAGCTCAGGGGCACGAAACGGTTTCGACCTGGGGATCCTCTCATTGAAATTTTGCAGCGCATGCGGACGGGTCAGCCATTCTCCGACGAGCTTTGGGAGCAGCTGCGGGATCGCTTTGTCAAGGATGCGTGTCCCGGGCAGTGCGATCCTCGTCTGGATGAGGAGGGCTTTCTGGATGGCTACTGCGTGTCCCTGTATTGGAGCAGCTTGACGCGAATGATGAATCGACGCGTACTGGTCGATGCGCATCGCCACGGTGTGCCGTTGGTGGTGCTGCAGTGCGCGGACGAGTGTCAGGGCTTGAAGGGCCAGAAGATGCGGAGCTTTCTGAGTCAGCCGAATCCCTACAAGACCGGTTACGCCCACGGGGTGCTGCCCTGTCACATTGGAATGAAGCTTCGGTTTCTGCAAAAGGTGGACGGCGACAAGGGTCTGGTTCAAGATACGGTTGGCACTCTCGTTGACTTCGAGTTTCATCCGAAGGATCGCGACGGGTACGCTAAGACTGCCGCAGGCGATTTCTTCGTGCCGCAGTATCTGCCTTCGGGACTGTGGCTGGCGCTGGAGAAGTTCGCTGGGTGCTCGAACTGGGAGAGTGTCCGGGATGTGTGCCAGAAGGGCAACATTGCGAAGGACGCGGAGGAAGCGGAGGAACTCGCGAGGAGCATGTACTTTTTGCCTGCCGTGCAGACGTCCGTGGCATTTTCCAGCACGGAGAGCTTCGAGGTGCGCAGGTGCGGTTTTCAGGTGAGTCACGGCCTGTTTCTGACGAGCACGGCGTCCCAGGGCTTGACTCTGCGGCGCCCCACGATCGTGGATTGCGCTCGTCTTCCGGAGTTGGATGAGGATCACTGGTGGCTGCACCTCTACGTGATGTTGTCCAGGGTGACCTGTCTGGAACACTTGCTTTTGCTGCGTCCTCCGTCTCGCGAGCAGTTTGAACGCGGACCGCCGAAGGCGATCCGGGAGGTGCTGCGTAGCTTCGAGGAGAAAGCTGCAAGATGTCGAGAAGGCGCTCTTCATCGGGTGGCACGGAGCAGCTCGAGCGTCCGAAACAGAGGCGTGGGATCGTTCGTTTTCCGACGCGGTGATCGAGCCGAACCAACGGCTCGCTGTGGGCTGGGGTGTCGGCTGGTCGTCGTCGTCGTCGCGGACCGTTGAGACGCAGATCGGCAGCGGGTGGCCTGTATGTGAAAACGTAAGCATGTCGGCGTCTGCTGGCGGCGGTCGACTCGAGCCAACGGTCCGCTGTGGGCTGGGGTTTCGGGTTGCCGCGGTTGCAGACCGGGGAGAGGGAGAGAGAGATCAGCCGAGGAATTAGGCTAGTATTAGTCCACGAGGTCATCCGCGGGGTCCGACTCTGACAATTTCGGGAGATTTCATTGGTTTCACACTTTCGTTGCTTGCGTTCCGGACAAGAGCTTCGGATGTGGCACCTGCTTCCGGGGGGCGACTCCTAGTTTGAATCAGAGAAGGATGGAGGCTGCATCGAGAGCGCACGAAAACGGGCTGTCCGTTGTGGGATTTTGTGGGGTCTGAAGACGTAGCTTTGTCGACGTTGTCGCAGAAGTCTTGCTTCGGACGGGATTTGTCTACTTGCGACAGAAGCCGTTGAGCTGCGGTTTCCGCATAGTCGTCTTTCTGCCTCTGTCTTTCGGAATGTTTCGCCTTCGTGCATTGAGCGGCGAACTGTTGGAGGAGATAAAGCCAGGACAGCAGGAGTGTGCTGGGAACATTTTGGAGGACCTCCTTGCCGTGGCGGCTGTGCGTTCAGGCGCGCATCCGAGCCGGATCAAGATTTGCTGCACGGACTCGGCTCGGTCCATCGGTCCAGCCGCGACGTGGCAATCGGGCGTTTCTTTGGTGGAAAAGGAGGATCTGGAAGTGCTCGTGGTGCTGAAGCCGTTTCGATCGGACGGCGGCGAGGAGCTTGTCTCTGCCATCTTGCAGGAAAGCACGCGGCACGTGAAGGACCTGCTCTACAGTCGCGTCGATCCGAATATGGTTCTGCCACGGCAACCTTACCTTCCTCTGGCTCTGGCTGCTGTCACTCAGACTCGCGACGTGGAGATACTCCGCAGCCTGGTGTGCGCTCGTGCAGAGCTGGAGTGTGAGGGTAATTCTCCACTTTGTTGCGCTTGCAGCGTCAGCAACGTGGAGGCGGCGAGGTTTCTCATCGCTGCCCGGGCCGACGTCAATCGAAGGGACAGTGGAATGGACACCCCGTTGCTCATCGCCGTTTCGATGGGTTTCTCGCCGCTGGTGAAGCTGTTGCTGTGTTGTGCTGCGGATGCGTCCCAGGAGGACTCCAGAGGTCGGGGTCCCATCGAAAGAGCTTCTGAGGATGCCTGCATCGACACCTGTGTTTGCTTGGCGCGCGCCTGAGTGCAGGTGCGTTCCTACGCGAATGAGGGACGTCTGGTTCATGACGCTGCAAACAGAGGCAGATTGAGATGGATCAGATGTTTGCTTCGGGCGAGAGCAGACCCCGAAGCTCGGGATCGTCGTGGGCGCCGTCCCGTGGACGTTGTGCTTCGCAACTCTTGCTTCTTGGATCGCTTTCGATTGAGACGAGCCCTGCGCGTGTCGGTGCCCGAGCTGGGGACCGCTTGTGGACAGGTGGCTTCGGATCGCGGCAGCGGGTGATTGCCAGGCATGGCCGCGCCGGGATCGAGAAGTGCTGCCGTCGCTTTGTCTTATTGTCGAGGGCGCATGGGCAGTCGACTACTCGCTGTGGGTGGCGCTGTTGCACTGTGTTCTTGCGAAGAAAAGTCTTGTGTCCGCATGTGCATGAGTCAGGGAGCCCGGCCGTGGTGCGTGCTGACTGTATGCGTGCCTCCTCTAGCGAGACTGGGCTCACAGGCGACTAGAAATATTCGTATGATGCCCGATTTCTGTGTTCATGTGCAGTGTCTGGACGAGGATTACCATGTTCCTCGAGGCAATCGAGCGCGCATGCGACAGTGGTCCAAGGTGACGGCGAATCACTATCGATTTCTGCACGCCGCTGGTGCGGATTGTCTTGCGTGCGCACGATCGTGGCTGGCGCGCGGCGCCGACTTGAATCGAGGAACTTGCAATCATCCGACGTGGAATGCCCTGGCTTTTGCTCAGTACGGTCGTGCGAAGAGGCGTCTTGGCGAAGACGACTAGCTGTGATTTGTGTTGTTGCACGGATTGTCTAGAGTAGGAACCTTACAAAGGATTCGTAGGCAGTCACAGCCGCTGGGTTCGCGTACAGGACTGCAGCGTTTCTCCGTGAGCAGCAGACACAGGGTGGCGTGCCGATGAGGGTGCAGTTGCCCGAACGCAGTTTGCCGCTGCGGGTGGAGTTGCCTGCTCCGCGCGACCGTTGTCGTGATGTCGCGATGGACGGCGGTCTGGGTGGGCATGGCGAGGAAGCGGATGAGCAGGTTTCTTGGTGCGTTGCTCCGGATGAAGTGAACATTTACGCTCGATTGGCATTCGAAGGCATTTCACGCCGAAGTGCTGCGTCGGCCAACTCGCTGTGGGTTGACGACACGGCAGCGTGGAGATCCGGGGCTGCGGCCTCTCTGCGGGCGGATTCGCGGGATGCGAGTGAAATGTGTCGGGCTTTCACATTGCCCGTCGCCCTTTCAGTTCGACCCGCTTCTCCTCGGCTGCCGCCTCCTCCGCCCTTCTGCGAATGGACTGCAGACGACGTGTGTTGCCATGTTCCTGACTGTGAGAAGGTGTATGTGCAGCAGATGCCAGCGAGAGTGAGGAATCGGTGGCTGTTTCTGTGCGCAATCTGCGCCGATTGCGTGAAGTGCACCACAGCATGGCTGGCACGTGGCGCGGATCCTCTCCGCAGCAGACACTATGAGTGTAACGACGACTTGAGCGAGAGGGAACGCCATGAAATTGATGCAGCCTGGGAGTCGCTGGACGGAATGCAGTGGACTCATGCGGGTTTTGTCGACTCGGAAGGGACTTTTAGTGTTTGTCGTTCAGGTTCTTGGATGGCCTCGGCGACGAGCTTCGGTCGCATGCGACTCCGCTGCAATGTGCGAGAGAAGCTGGTGCTTGGGAGCTGCTTGGCTTGTTGCTGGTTCACTGCTAGTCAGCGAGCTTGCCAGGGATTAGCGTATGTTTTGTGTTATTGTTATTTCGGTTTTTTAGTCGTAGACGCTGTGCAGTCTTGCATGTCTGCGATGTTTAGCTTGGTGCACCGAGGGTGCTGGAGGTGCTGGAGCGGCATGCGCAGCCGGTGGCTTTGTCGGGATTCTCGCCCTTGCTGTGCCTTTAAAAGTCGGAGTGCGGGGAGCTTGGCGTTTCTTATGCGTTCGTCCTGTCGTTGCGTGGTAGGTAGGTCATGCTGACGGTGCATGAATCGTTGAGATCCATGGAACCTGCCTCTGTGTGGCTCGCAGTGTCGGAGCTGCGACTGCTCGCTGTGGGCGGCGCAAGTCGTGGTTTTGTTTCGTGCCTTGAGGACGTGTTGGACCTTAAAGCGCCCCCACCCTTCCCAAACAGACCTTAAACATGAGTCTTCAAAGCTTTAAGGCACATTTGGATTTTTTAAGGTCCATTTGGGCGTTGTTCAGCAACATGGCAAAACCAGGATGAAGAGCATCATTGAGCATTGTTTTGAGCATTCGAGCCAAGAAAATAGGCCAAGTATCATGAAGCATCGGCATGAGCCATACATCGAGCAAAGAACAAACCAACAAATAGCAGCATACTTATGCACATGTTTTTCATACGGAAGCATCCCGTGTAGCACAGAACAAACAAAAAACATCCGTTTGACCCAGAGAGCGGGTTTAGGGATGTTTACGGCAATGCCCTATTTACACTAAGTCACTAAGTATAACCCCTGATCAGGAATTACTTATGCAGATTGCTTCTTCTGATCGTTAGAAAGTCGTATGACGACACTGCAGTACTGGTCGGGTTTTGTTTCCAAGATACACATGCACACATCTACATATATACACATATAACTAATCATCTACACATGCAGTACATACACTGTTTACACACACTTGTTCTGATCACTATTACAACACATACCTGTATTTACATATATGTGTGTGGTGTGTATGTATGCATGCACGTATGCACGCACCTACCTATGTAGGTAGGTATGTACGTATGTATGTTGCAAGAGAAAAACATCATGCAGCAACATCGCGTTGAGCCATTGGGCCAACAAAACAACATAAGTTTGATCCAGCTGAGCCAACAAAAGCAACTGTTAAGTCGACAAACGCATAATATGGGGGGATAAAGGCGGTTGGGGGTCGGGGGTTGCCCTCTGTTATAATCCTGGATGAGTTAGCTAGGGTTACGGAGATGTTTGGTCAAGCAGGTTGTTCATTTTCTGAGGTTTAGGGTAGGTGGGGATACAGACACCAATTTATGGAATGCTCTCTTGGCGTTATAAGATATAATGCTCTGCATGCAGCCTGTATTGTTTGAACTTGGGGTGAGTGAAGACTTCTGCAAGGAAAATATATAGGGGCCCACCTTGGCCTTTGAAGCTATGGTTCTGCAACTCTGCAGGTATCAACGGGATATCCGGTAGGTTGTTCCGCAGGTAGCTTACTGTCTGAAACAAGTATCTCGGAGCACGGAAACCATGTTTAGTCCGAAAAGCTTTTGCTTCTGAAGCTTACAAATTTCTGTTTGCCAAGATGTCCAATGAATTTTCCAATGAATGTTGAATCATTTCAGCTTGTGCAATGCTAATAATTTTGAGACATTGATCCTCTCAACGTTCACAGCATTAAATACCCGAAACTAAGGTCCCATGCCCTCATCAGCTTCATTTCAAGCAGTTTTGTCTGAAAATGCGCTAAGACAAAGCTAGGACAAGTATTTTTGGGGGCTTCGGCTTTTAAAGCTGTTGGTATTTTTGGATAAGTGATAGGAGGGTTTGGCGATTCAAAGCTTTAATTGGCCAATTCGAACCAATTTTTGTCTGCGCTGCTGGCTTGAGGCAGTGATCCATGTCAGACTTCGATGGTTGTATCAATCACATCGCAGGAAATGGCGTCGACAGTGCTATGAGGTGTAAAAAAGCCTCCAAACCACGTGCGACCTTCAATCGTGAAACAGGACCCTTGAAATAATCCACCTGCTTTTCGAGCCTTGAAATTCGTCGATCCTGTGAGTAGACTGGGAGTCGTCCTTAAAACGTGTTTCCGTGTATTTCATGATGCAAAAATGTTGTGAATGCAGCATTCACACTTTTCACGGTGTTTATGGTCCATTTGGGGTTGTTTTAAGGTCCTTTTCACGCTTTTTCACGCGGCCAGTCCGCGTGAGCCGAGACGCGCTGAGTTTTCTGCTCCAAAAACATTGCTGAGCAAATTTGCGTAGCAGGGCACACGCAGAGCGTGAAATTTCACGGCACGCGCCGTGAAATCGTGAAATTCAGAACTGTCTGGCAACACATAAAAAAAGCAGCCCCGTGAAATTCTATGACACATGACAACCGTGAATTCACACATGGCAAGTTGGAAAACGATCATTTTGTGGCACTGTCTTGAGGATTTTACTGGCCGTTTTCATGTTTTTCACGTGGGCAGTCCGCGTGCAACTTGTGAACTGCAGGCACACACCCAAGATGCTAAGTTTTTCTGAACAAACAGCATCGAACAAATTTACTTCGAGATGCCAGCTATAGCAGCTATGAAGCCACAGGCAGGGCGTGCAAATACACGGAACCCACCGTGAAAAAAGTGCCAAATCGTGAAACTCGGCCAAGACTGCCCCGTGAAAAACGTGATTTCACGCGTTGCCGGTTGGAGAGCTACAAGCGCACGATCCATTTGGGGATTTTGAGGTCCTCTGCACGTTTTGGCCGGGCGGCCGGTCTGCGTGAAACTTGTGAATTTTACTGCTCACCACCAATATTGAAAAATGTTAAGATTTCTGGTGCAAAGGATTGAGAAGAGTTCCTTATGATAGAGATGCCAGCACTGAAGCACACAAGCAGGGCGTGAAAATTCACAGCATGCGCCGTGAACAAGCGTGCCAACATGTGAAACTCAGAACTGTCTAGTTTTCAACATAAAGACGGTGATTCGTGAAATTCTGTGGACTGGGTTTTATAGGTTGCAGGGCAACTAGTCTAGGTTTCCGCTTGTGCCTTCCATTCCAAGGTCTGGCGCATACACACACTTCAACACATCTATAAAGCACTGCGAGCTCAACATCGCTCATCAAGAGCAACAACAAGATGAACACGAGTACTTCCAAGAACTGCTGCGGAAAGATGAATTAATGCATCGAGAACGAAACTGCTAGTACAGCTGCTGCTGTTGCTGCTGCTCCTCCTACTACTACTACTGCTGCTGCTGCTGCCGCTGCTGCTGCTACTAGTGCGACTAGTATACTATTACTACGACGACGACTATACTACTACTACTACTACTACTGCTAGTACTAGTGTTAATGCTAGTGCTAGTCCTAGTCCTCGTCCTAGTCCGAGTCGTCCTAGTCCTAGTCCTAGTCCCACTGCTACTCCTACTCCTACTCCCACTCCTACTCCTCCTACTACTACTACTGCTACTACTACTACTAGTGCTATACTGCTACTACGACGACTGCTACGACGACGACTACTACTATGTGCGCGAGACCAAAAGCCAAGTGTTCTCCTGTTTGCGTTACCAGTACTATGCACAACTCACCAAAAATCGACACATATAGCTATAGAGCTCAGGAAAACGCATAGGTCGGGGTTTCCGCCGGGCAGAAAGTAAGCTGTTGTGTGATGCTGCAGGGGGTTGGGGTTTACGGTTTTAGTGGATCTGTTGTGTTTTTCGACATTTGCGCAGGACCAACAACACACGATCACAATTCTGTTCGAAACCCATTTACAGCGTGCAACCTTCCAGACGTGCTTGTTTTTAAGGTCCATTTGAAATGGGCCTTAAAATAAGGCACATTTCTAAACGCACACGACCTTATTTTAAGGCTCATGTCGTCCTCAAGGTGGTGCTGGAGTTTCGACTGCTCGCTGTGGGCGGCGAAACTCGTGCCTCGGCCATGGCGACACTGTGTGCTGCGGCCCGGCACAACAGAGACTGTCATCTGGACGGCGACACCAGGAGAGTCAAAAGTTTCACGGACGATTGGGCGGATCACTATCGTTTTTTGCATGCGGCGGCTGCGGACTGTGTCGAGTGCACGCGGTACTGGCTTCAGAATCGCGCGGACCCCTTGCGGGGCACGATCAATAACCCGGAGTACAATGCCCTGGCCTTCGCCAAGCACCGCCGCGCCATGAGGCGGTTCGCACGACAAGGGCTAGTGTTGGTGGTTGGTTGTCTTTCCTGTGTGTTGTTTTTGAGTCTCGTGTCGTTGTTGTCTCCGTTTTCCTGTTTTAGAGACGCACTGGCAGGACTGAAGCCTTGTTGCTCGGAGAGGAGCCCGAGCCGGAAGAGTCTCAGCAGACGTGGGCCTCCGACGATGCGGCCGCGAGGTCTTTTTCGTTCTCGAATCCTCCTCCGCCGCCGCTTTGCCCTGCTGCGACACAGGATCCCTACGTGCACGTGAGGACCATGAAGAAGAAAAGAAAAAAACTGGAGTCTTTCAAGGAAAATTTGCAAACGATGGAAGACGACATGCAGCAACACTACATGTTCTTGTATGCTGCGTGCGACGACTGCGTGCCGTGCGTGTCTTCGTGGCTGCACAAAGGCGTCGACCCGACTAAAGGTTCGTACAACAATCCAGAGTGGACTGCGGAAGCGTGGGCGGTGTGGTCTCAGGAGCAGCGCAACTGCCACTTTCTTGTACGAGAGTAACTGAGGTCCACGCTAGCTGGCCATGCTCTCTGCTCGAACTTGCGACTGTCAGGTTTCGCTGTCTGTCCGTGCTCCGGACTGCCGTGGCGAAGCAGGACTCCTCGGGGCCGGAACCGTCGCAGGCGCTGATTGCTTTGGCAAATGCTCCCGCCGCCGGCATATGGCAGGCGCGCGTGCACGCATGGCTATGCATTTTGTATTGGCAGTCATGTATGTACCCCTTCTCGAGGATCTCGACCCATCGAATCCAAACGACGCGGAAGAGGAGGACGAGGACGGCGGTTCCTGCGAGGACTGGTATGTCGGGGTGGGGTTGCAAGGGTAGGGAAGGAAAGACATCCCGTGGTTGTTGCCGGGGGATGGCAGCTGTTTGCGGCTTGCGCTGGTAGTTAGCTATGCATGCGTTTTCGAGGAGTCCGACTCGTCGAAGGCGGACGACGCGGACGAGGAGGGCCACGGCACTTCCTGCGAGGGGCGGTTCCGGTTGTTGGAAGAACGGTTCGTGCCTGCCTGGATGTTCGCGGTGGCGCAGGAGGAGGGTGAGCAGCGTCCTTCCGCCGAAGCGCAGGCTCCGGGTTCCGAGCGGGATTCGTCGCAGGCGCAGGACGAGGCCGTGGGGCGCGAAAGTGAAGCTGTTGTTTGGGGTTTGGTCGCGAACGGTGCTGGTGCTGCCTTGTGTGCCATTGCGTCCAGGAGTCTGCCGGGATCCGTTCATAGGCGTGTCAGATGTGTCTCCGTGAGTGACACGAGATTCTCGCAGAAAGGATTGCCGCTCCTGCGTGTGTTCGTGCAGGAGAACTTTGCTGGGCAGGATGCGGACGTTCAGGCGGGTGATGCCCAGGGTCTGCAGGGGCGACACTAGTCGCTGTTTGGCTGCCGTCTTGAAGAATGAAGATTCGGGCGTTGGCCGTGTGCAGCTGCCAGGACGGCCGCGTCCGGAAGTCCTACAACAAAGCTGCCAACTGGCTTGCATCGCTCGACTAGCCAAGACTGTATCCTGAAGTAGCCGGCTTCGTTTAGTTTTCCTGCCGCGGCGCCGTCGACTCGCTGTGGGTTGAGGTGCTCGGCGGCGTTGTGAAGCGACGATGTCGGTTCGAAAACAAAGCCGGGGAGTGCCTCCCGCAGTGTCACTGGCCGTGAGCTCGTACTTTGCAGCAAGTGGCATTCTTTAATTCTCGAGCTGCGGCATCGACCACTCGCTGTGAGTGGAGGTGTTCGATGGTGACGTCAGGTTGCGACGTTGTTCCGTGCATCGGGCCAAATAGTGCGCTGGGCTGCAGTGCTGCCCGTGATGCACGCTCATCTTGTTTGTTTTGTTTTTGCATCGATGCTCGTTCCCGCTGTCGTGCAATGGGGCTCGGTATCAAGTCGGCGCCGTTGGTTTCGGCACGAAGTTTCCCGGAGCTTGCTTTTAGTGGTAGTGGGCGCTTGTAGTCCTGATGAACGAGTTCTTTTGTCCCGCGTATGGCTCCTTGGTGAAGCTGGAAGGACCCTACCCGTCGGATTGGCAAGTTCGTCGTTTTGGTCGAGCCTTTTATCTCGACTATCTTCATCATGCCAAGCGTTACTGGCGTCCGGAGATTTGCATCGTGGAAGAGCTGGCGCAGTTCGAAGATCGGATTCGACTCATGCACGGGGCGGAGGTGATCTGGTCTTTGGAACACTACTACATCCGGTGTAGAGAGTATCGCAAGGAGCTTCGAGAAGCTTTCGGAGATGTGTTCGGGTCCACGGTGCAAGAGTACAAGTCCGCGATGGCTCGGCGTGGTTGTGGCACCGACCGCATCGCGGTCGAAACCAGCCCATCTCTTTCGAGCGACGAAGAAGACGAAGTCCCGGCGATGGATTTGAATTATGATTATCTGTATTTTCTTTGACCCAGCAGCTGAGGGAGTTGTCATTGCTTCATGTAGCGGGCCGGCACAATCGGATTGACCCGTATTGGGAAGACCGATGGCGGCCCGATTCTGATGTGTGGCTGTGTGTGCAAGAGCGCAAGACAATTCGCAATTCGCCAGAGGAGCCACGCTGTACAGAAGCTCCGAATTGGTAATTAATCATCATGGGCATGAGTGCCAGAATTGATGGCGTTTGCATGGTTCAGCAAGTGGCATTCTTTAATTCTCGAGCTGCGGCATCGACCACTCGCTGTGAGTGGAGGTGTTCGGTGGTGACGTCAGGTTGCGACGTCGTTCCGTGCATCGGGCCAAATAGTGCGCTGGGCTGCAGTGCTGCCCGTGATGCACGCTCATCTTGTTTTTTTTGTTTTTGCATCGATGCTCGTTCCCGCTGTCGTGCAATGGGGCTCGGTAGAGCCAGACGTGCTACCGTCATGGCGGTGGTTTTCGCTTACTTGTGCCATCGAACTTGCTTCTTCGATGGCTCCTTCTCGCCGATGGCTGTCAAAGCTGGTTGCGCGAGACTGGACACGGCTCCGGTTTTCTGGCAGCACCCCGAGGACGCGGAGTGGATGCGGAAGTACGGTTTCGGTTCGGAGACGCTGGCGGCCTTCTTGAGACTCTGGGAGGTGTTCTCGGACGTGTGCGGAAATGATCTGCGTCTGGTTCGCATCGGAAAGAAGGATCAGTTGCCGGACTTTCGCGTGGATCATTCGGCGCACCCGGTCGATGACGGAGGATGGTCGGTGGCGGCTCAGCTGTTGTGCGCTCTGGAGTCCGGGGAGTATGTCGTGCGAATGGCAAACCAGGATCTTCTGGCCGTTCGTTTGACGGGAGCTGCTGCTTCGTCTCGTGAGAAGGTTTTGGCCTTGGGCCCGTCTTTGCAGCCGCTGACATGCAAGCTGCGCCCGTGCGACAGGGCACGGCAGCGGGAGCATGCCGCTTCTTTTCAGTGACGTCCTGAATCGTGGCAGGGCGACTCATTGCGTCGTCGACTCGCTGTGAGTCGAGGCGTTCTAGGTTAGAGTCGAGGTCGGCGCAGAAAAATGTCGTTGCTGCGACAGAGGGACAGTCTGGAGGGCGTGCTTTCCCCGAGCAGGCTGCCAGTCCGTCGAGGTGCAGTGGACCGCGGGAGTTGGTGAAGGCGCCGGGCAATTTGTTTTGTACATACTTCAGGGTTCTCTGTCGCGTTCCGAACAGTGCCTTCGCGACGGTAGTATTCGCGGGCACGGACCGTTTCGGATCAAAGACGCTGCTAGATGATGCGGCAGGGTAGTTTCTGTTGCCATGAGGCGACGGTGTTGTCCCGCACGCAGAAGACGTCGCATTCTTCGGCTTATGCGAGGTCGTTGTCGCGAACCGTCGTATCCTGCATTGCGGAAGATGGCCGCGGATCAACTCGCATTCCATCGGAAGGCGGCTACACTGATTGGGGAATTATGCAAAGACTTCGCCCGGCGTCGGATGCGGAAATCATCGAATCAGTGCGCCGCGGTGGCACGTGGGTGAGGAACCAAGAAACACGACGTCGTCTCAATCTGGATGCGGTGGAATGGGAGGGCTACTGGGACGCTCTTCGAATTCAGCGAACCCTCGGCTTGAGCGAGGAGTCGCCGGATCATTGGTACTGCTGTTCCTGGAACGCGTGGCATACGCCGGAGGACGACCTGGTTCTTGCATCGATTCTCTCGAATGGGTCCATCAAGCGTCTGGTACACAAAGGGTTCTTGAAGGTGACTTTTAATGAGAGCGAGCGCGAGCGGCTGGATCTTGATGCTGTGGAAGCGTATGCACGAAGCTGTGCCAGACAGGTGCTGAAAGTATTTCGATGTCTGCCGTGGTGGATGTAATGAGACGCGTCTTCGCTGGGCATCGGAGTTTCGCTCTCCCGGCTTCTTCTTGATTCGGTGAAAAGAAACGGCAGCGTCCGGATGTCGATTGCTCGCTGTGGGCGACGGCTACGGCTGGGATGCGTGTGTGCTCGGGTGGATCCTTGTGTGGAAAGTAAGCATAGTTGCAGAGGAGAGTTTGGCCGTCGACGACTCGCTGTGGGTTGCTCCGGTCGCGTGACTCAACGTGCGATGCCGAACAAGAAAAAGAAACCGGGGAAGTTCCTGTCGGTTGCATTTCTGGCACCCCGTCTTTGTTTTCGTGCATTGCTCATTACATGTGGCACGCTGTTGGTTGCCGCTGGAGGGGTGGGATGAGTTTAGGCTCGAGACGTTGGTTGATCCGGCGCGTGTGTCGGGAGGGCGCGTCCGTGATCACTCGCTGTGGGTGGCGCGGCACTCTTTTCGCATAGGGACGCATGACGAGCGGTGCGCTTGCAGCTGATCTCCCGGTGGTGCCTTGGTGCGAGCAGCACGAAGGCTTCATCGTGCAGGGCTGCGAAGTCTGCAAGGCCTGCGAGCAGGCGGTGGTGCAGCTGATGGAGAGCGGTCGCGAACTGTTGCCTTCCCGCCATCCTCGGGTGCTGTGGTGTCCACTGCATGCTCATCCAGAAGAACATTGTGTGACTTGTCTGCAACAGGTCCAGGATCTGGATCGGCTGGCTCTCATGGGTGGGAGCGTTCCCGAGCGACGAATGCTGAACGTGCGGCAGTTGAGTGGAGATGTCCTCACGATTCCTATTTGCGTTGACTACACTCTGTATGCCGTGGCGCGGCAGCTTTGCATTCTTCGGGGCGTGAGGCATCACTGCGTGAGATTGTTCAGCTCGTTGCCAGAGCCGGAAGGAGTTCGTCAGTGTTTGCCCGACATGGACTTCGCTCTTCATCACGAGGACCACCTGTTCGTGATCTTCGAGAGATAGCAGCGGTGGGTTGTGGCTTGCGCTCCTGCCGGAGGTGCTCGGTTCTGGTCATGGAAGGGAATTGGCTGTGTCGCCGGACGAAGAGACAGCATCGCCGCGTACAAAGACGAAAGGGCATGTTTCGGTGTGCGTCTGTGTGTGCGCGTGTCTGTGAGCGTCCGTATGTGTGTGTGTGTGTCTCTGTGTGTGTGTGTGTGTGTGTATATGTGATGAGTGGGAGTTGCAGTGTGGGTGTGTGCATGTTGCGCCGACAAAAGATGGTCGCTGCCGCTGCCAGGTGACTCGCAAGTCTGCGTCTTCGCGTCGCGAAGGACAGGCTGGATTGTTCGAGCATCTCTGTGTGCAGTGCATCCTGTGCTAGACTCAATGCATCGTGGCAAGCGGCGCCTGACGGTCAGTATCTGATCGTCCGTAGCTTTGGCTCGGATGCATGGTTTTCGTGTTCAGGTGTATGTTCCAAGCAAGGGCCGTTCGTGTGACATGCAACATCAGATTTGTCAGTGTGTTTTGCTTAAGTGCTCGGACGCCTTTTTAGCGACTGGGTGACGCAGGAAGAGGTGTCCGTGACTGCTCGCCGCGGGCGGCACGACACGTTATCGGAAATTTCGCAAATAGATTCCTGTGTATCACGCGAGTGTAGTTGTAATTGTGATGGGCCAGTGGAGGGTGTAAGCCAGGGAAATAATGCGTGGTTGACTGCTCGCTGTGGGCGGCTCCACACGGTGGGGTAGATTTCATGTTCGGTGTGCGCGAGCTTCCTCTTACCGCCATGACCTCTAGGATGCTTATCCGGAACTTTCAGATTGAAGATGTACATTCATGGTTTCCGAACAAACGGGAGAATCCCACGGTCGGCAAAGAGACGGAAAAGTCATACTGGCTGAGTGTGACCTTCTGCGACGGACAGACGGTCACGGCTCCCATGATCTACCGCACCAAGGGTGCCGGACGAAATTGGTACGAGGTCAGTGGCTATCCTCTCGGCGTGAAGCTTTACAAATATGAGCCTACCTGGGACATCAATCGCAAGGAGGCCGCCGTTTTTGCACGGTATACTGGCACCCAGGTGGGGAAATATATTCCTGCATGTTATGGTGTTGCAGTTCAGCAGATCAAAGGCCGAGGCGGGTATGCTATTATATCCGTGGACGTGCTTCTGTTGCAGAAAGCCGGCGAGAGTCTGGAGCAGATGTTTGCCAGGATGACGAGCAGCAATCCGTCCGAGGAGGAGCGTACTTGAAGCACGTGGCCGCTTGCACGACGGAGATGTTTGTCGCTGCGCATGAATGTGGCATGCGCTGGCAGCAGGATATGCATTTCGGGAATCTGTCGTATTGTCTACGCACCAACCAGAGCTACTTGTTGGACATCGAGGCGTGTGACCAGCTGCAACCGAAAAGTTTTTCTGAGGCTTGGGAGGAGATCAAGACGAATCTGTGGTTGAAGAGGAGGATGTCAATTCACACTCAAGTTTTCCTCGACTACATGGAGCCTCTGATGCTGGGCGCGCATCCGACGGTGCCAAGATCTCTTCCGACCCCCGTTGTCACGACGGTACGTGCGTCGCAGGCCGGCGAGTCTCGACAGGTTTGCTTTAGGCAGCAATGCGTGTGTGATGGCAGGAGCCGTGCCGTTAGGGTTCTGTATTGTAGGGTGGGTCGTGCCCTTGCAGGTGCAGGAGTCTTCCACGAGCTCGACGGTGGTCTGGTTCGCAAGATTGCATTCCGTGCGGCGAGATGGCGAAGATCGCATCGTGGCGATTCTCGGGGACGAGCGGGAAATTCTGCTGCCTCCCGTTCGGTTGGAGAGGCGCGTGCCGCGCGAAGCTGCGGCTCGACCTCCTCGGCAACGAGTCGATGTGTCGGCGTTCATTGCCATTTTATTTCTTGCTGTATATTTTGTGTGGTATGTTTTTGTTCTGGCGTGGCTTCTGTCTTCACTCGTGTGCACGGGTCTTGGGGGTTCTGTGCGCACACAAAATTGCCGTTCTCGGCATCGCGAGGCAGACGGACATGTGGAATGTCAGGGGTGACGAGGAGAACAGCAGAAAGGCTGGGTCGGGAGCTCTTGTGTATCGTCCTGCAATTTGTGCTGGTCCCACTGCCGAGTTCTTGCTTGCTCGGCCAAGGCATTGTCAGAGTGAGCGTTGTCCCGTTGTACTATACAGTATTCAGCAATGCAACGTTGCGGCTGATGGAAAACTTCCAGCGGACGCCTTTGTTTCTGTAGCCCACTCGGTCCGTCGACTTCTCGCTGTGGGTCGCGACGGGCCGTTGCAGGGCAAAGGGAGCGAGACCGGATTCAAAAGTTTCGAAGTTTCGACGAGGTGCAGTTGGAGTATTCCAGTGATATTGAACGTTCAGCGCATCTTGTGCAGGTTCCTCTGCTCGACTGGTGGAGAACGGTGGTTTCTGCGTGAGGCATCATCCTGTGTGAGAGTGTTTGATGTCGGATGAAAGCATTTCTGTTGCTCGTTGATGCAAAACAAAGTACTGGGAAGTCACGACTGACGATTTGGCTTGCAGCAGGACGTCCCGGAAATAGATTCCTTCGTTTCACGTGAGTGTAGTTGTAATTGTGATCGGTGTTCATAGCCAGTGGAGGGTGTAAGCAACGGAAATCGAGTGTGGTTGACTGCTCGCTGTGGGCGGCTCCACACGGTCGGGTAAATTTCTTGTTCGGTCTGGGCGAAGTTCCTCTTGTCGCCATGGCCTCTAGGATGGTTATCCGCAACTTTCAGATCGGAGACGTACAAGAATGGTATAAGAACAAGCGGGAGAATAACACGGTTTGCAGAGAGACGGAAAAGGCATACTGGTTGAGTTTGACCTTCGGCAACGGAGAGACGGTCCAAGTTCCAATGATCTGGCGCACCAAGGGTGCCGGACGAAATTGGTACGAGGTCAGCGGCTACCCTCTCGGCGTGAAGCTTTACAAATATGAGCCTACATGGGACAACAATCGCAGGGAGGCTGCCGTTTTGGAAAGATATGCTGGCACGAAAGTGGGGAAGTATGTTCCTGTATGTTATGGCTTTGCAGTTCAGCAGATCCAAGGTCGAGGCAACTCTCGCATAGCCGTGGACGTGCTTCTGCTGCAGAAAGCCGGCGAGACTCTGGAGCAGATTTTTCTGAGGATGACGAG